TGAGATGCCGTGGATGGAAAAATAGAAGCAGTGGAACCGCATATCGTTCGTTCGAATAGTATTGAAGCACTTTCTTCCAACCTGACTAAAAATCGTTTGCAACTGTTTGCTACCTTGGTAGAAAAAAAACCCGTTAATTTAACTGAGTTGGCTCACTTATTACAAAAAGATTATGCCCTAGTGCGACGGGATGCTCGTATCTTGGAAGGCATGGGGCTGATTAAATTAGAAAAAGTAGCCAACCAAGCCCAAAATGGTCATGGTAGCGGTATAAGGTTTAATGAAGTTAGGCCAATTGCTCTATATAAGCGGATTGTGTTTGATTTTCCCATTCAAGAGGAGGTGACGGAAAAGGAAAAGCAAAGAAGTAAAAGTTGAAATCTTTTGGATTATGACGAGCAACAGCGATTAATCCGTTATTGAGGTTATGAAAAGGCGAGAATAGAAAACGGGTATATTGAAGAAACCGAAAGATTGGAAAGACAAAGCCAAGAATACTTAAAAGAGATTGAACTTGCTAAATTCCATGAAGAACGAGGCAAAATAAACTGTGAATGCTACTCTTGCGAAGAACAAAAAATAATCAGAAGTGAAGTAATTAACGAACAAAAGAAAATTATCACTGATTATGAAGCCGAACAAAAGAAAGAAATGGCGGTGGAATGAATAAAGGGAGAATGTAATAATTGCTATGAATATAAAAAAGTGGACAGTGAGAATGGGTTATGTAAGAGTTGTGCCAAAAAGTATGAGTAAGCAGAAAAAATTATCCATAAAACTAATATATAGGTAAAAAAATTACATATATAATAAATGAAAACCAAACCGGAAATAATTTCCTCGCAAAGATGAGTATTTTTAACTGAAACCGGAAAAAAAGTTATTGTGCTAATGAAATTACGCTATTTTCCTAATAAAAGAAGAATAGAATACCCCGAAAGTTTAAAAATTAATTGGATTGCCTATAACGAGGATGACCCCCACGAAAGAGTATTATTTGATAATCATCACGGCAAATCTCCTCATTATCACCTCGATAAAGATGAGCTAGGAATTCCATTCACTTGAACTTCTCGGGAACAAGTTGAAGAGTTATTTTGAGAAAAAGTTCAAGCCCGATTTGGTAAATTAGAAAAAGTATTTTAATGCTATGAAATCACCCAAAACATTCACCTTTAAATATGACCCAACGGCTAATCCTCACCAAATGTTTGCTAACATGTGAAAATCCGTGGACACCGGAAAGTCTAATATTCAACCAAAAAATCTCCTCATGAGTAATAGTTTAGAAGCCATTTATCGCTGTATCACTCCTAGTCGCTGAGAAATTTTTACTTGTTTGGTGGAAAAGCAACCGAATAATCTCACTGAATTAGCTCGTTTGCTAAATAAAGATTATGCGAATGTCTGAAAGGATATTCGGGCTTTACAAGGTTTAGAAATAATTAAGTTAAAAAAAGAAGGCAAAGAAATCCGACCAATTGCTTTATATGAGCGGATAGTATTTGATTTACCAGTTTTAGTCAATAAAGAACCCCAACCAGAAATTAGATTATCACCTTAACGATAAAAATGAAATTACCAAGAACAAAAAAATTACTTTGGAGTTAACCACTAACTTAGCCAAAAGTCCTTAAATTTAGGTTTTTTTTAGTGATTTATTAAGAAATTATGCGAGGAAATTTGCGAGAAGCAAGGAGTTAGATATTTCTTTTTGGTGTTTTTTACTAGGAGAGCAATAAGAACATAAACCACTAAAGGGGAGAATAAACTCCCTTTTTTAAGATTGCCCTTGGGAGAAATTTCGATTTGAGAAGTTGTTGCTTCTTGATATAGTTTTATTCATATAGGCAAGCAAAAATGCTATAAAATTAATAAAATTGGTTATATTTGCCTATGGTCAGAAAATAAGGAGATATCTAACTAGAATAATTTTTTAAAAATCAATCACCCCTGGTTAGATATATAATTTGGCTTAATTGCCGAGTGGTGATTGTAAACATAATTTTTACAACATATAAATACAATAACAACAAAATACTTAAAAAACATGGTAAATGCACAAGAATATATAAATGAAAAGTACCCAAAAGATGGAGTATGCAAAAGTGGTAGTGATAAAGAAAACAAAGGCAAAAAAAGAGATGAGATAATTGTATTAGATCTTAGCAAAGGAAAGGTTGGTAAAGGACTTTTTAATAATGATGGCAAAACTTTAGATGGTTCTTTAAAACTAGAAAGTTTTACTAGTTTACAAAAACTAATAATTTCTTCCCAGCAAATAACTAGTTTAGATTTAAATGATTGTCCTAATTTAAAAGAAGTAGATCTAAGTAATTGTCCAAAAGAACTTGTTGAAAATAAGGATGCCATAAAATCTCACCTTGTTTTTAACATTAAGAAAACTAAATTAATAAAAGGACCGATTATAACTCCCGCCGGAGAAAATGTTAGAAATGTATTGCTAGTTGGCTGAACCGGCAGTGGTAAATCTACTTTAGCAAATACTTTGGTTAATAAAAATAATGAGTTTGAAGAAGTATTTTTAGAAGGAAAGTATGGGGTCAGTAAAACCAAAGGATTTCAAAAGAATGATGAACCTTTCGAATGGAACGGAAAAAAATATTATTTGATTGACAACATCGGGTTTGGTGATACGAGCAAAGACTCAATCAAAGAAGAAGATATTTTAAAAAGGGTAGGAGAAGGAATTTATTCTGCTCAAGAAGGAATCAATCAAATTCTTTTTGTGGTCAAAGGAAGATTTACGGAAAAGCACATAGAGGCTTTTAAATTATTTGAAAACTTTATCTCTGACACTGGCATTGCTAAATTTACGACTATTGTCAAGACTGGATTTTCAAACTTTCGAGACCCAGAATCACGCGAAAGGGACAAAAAAGCTTTAATTAGGGAAAATAAGGATCTTAAAGAAATAATTGAGTCATGTAGTAACATTATACATGTTGACAATCCAGCAATGACAGTTGATGAACAAGAGAAGAATATAAACAAAAGAAAAAGAGAAGAATCGCAGAAGATGATACTAGATTACCTAGCAGAAAATTGTCAAAATGTTTATAAAATCGAAGAATGAGACGATATATATTCCATGATAGATAAATACGAGCAAATAAAGAAAAATTTGTCTAATGCTAAGGATGGAAAAGAAAAAATAGAAAAGGAAAAAAGCAACTTGTTTAAAGAATTAAGAATTAAATTAAGATTAAGTGTGCCAGGACTTCCTATCAAACTTGAAGCCCAAATAGAAGTTATAAAATAGCAAAATTAAAAAAATATGACAGAAACTAAAAAAATACTCTTAATTGGGAGGTCAGGTCGGGGTAAATCAACCTTAGCCAATGTGTTAATTAACCAAGTTGATGAAAATGAAAAGTTTAAAAAATTTGAACAATTATTCGAAGAAGGTGATTTAAGTGTTAGTCAGACTAGAAATATCCAAAGTGAAAAGTTCGAGCAAGAGTTTACTAAGCAAGAAGAATTAAAAAAAATATCCTACCAAGTAATTGATACTCCGGGGATTGGCGACACCAAGTTATCGCCGGAAGAAATATTAGATATCATTGGAGAAGCAGTTTATTTAGTTCGAGAGGGGGTAGATCGAGTTTTTTTTGTCACTAACGATCGATTTGACCAACATGAAACGGCTACTTATGATTTACTAAGAAAAGCCATTTTTGATGACCAAATTACTAAACATACTACTATAGTTCGCACTAATTTCGCAGCTTTCAAAAATAAAAGAGAATGTGAAAATGACATCAAGGAAATGAAAGAAAATGATTCATTAAAAGAAGTGATTGAATCCTGTCAAGGAAGAGTTATTCATGTAGATAACCCTCCAATAAATACAAAGGGGGCTAGCGAAGAAGAAATAGAACTTAATAAAAGTAAAAGAGGAGACACTAAAAAATTACTTCTCGATCATTTAGAAAAAACTTGTCAAGAAAATGTTTATAAACCTCAAAACCTAATAGAGTTAAGCGAAAAAATTCAGAAAATAATAGAGAAAAAAAAGAAATTAGGTGAAGCATTAGATAAATTAAAAGAGCAATTAAAAATAGTAGAAGGAAAAGTAAGAGGTGAGAAATTATTACAAGTTATAAAAGATCTAAATGAAGAAATAGAAAAAAAAAATGTTGCTATACGTCGAGCAATATTTGAACATGTTCAGTCGAAGGTAAACAACAAAGAGTTAAAACATATTGCTGAAAATAAAGAAGAAACAAATGAATCAACTACTCCTAAAAAAAGTCACTGGAAAAAAAAAGTAAAGTTATTTTGAGATAAGTTAGTTAGCAAAGTAAAACCACCAAAAAAATCAAAAGTCAAAGGAAAGGATTCAGAAGTAAAGTTAGAGGGCGAGGAAACTATCAGTAGCATAAACACAGCAAATGAATCAAAGGAAGAGGATGCAGAACTATCTAAGGCAATTACTGAGATAATAACTGATTTAATTGAAGAAGAAAGGTGAATTGATCAATTAGAATTCATAGAAAATGTTGCTGACCAAATAGAGCAAGTTATTTGAAAAACTATTAATCAAGCATTTGATGAAGAGTTGATTTTAGAGTGAAAAAATAATGGTTTTGATTATGAACAAACTAAAGAGTGAGCTACTTTCTTAGAAAAAAACGGATTTAATCTAGAGCAAGATGCTGGTTTCTGTTCTTGATTAAGAGATAATAAACAGTTAACGATTGAAAATATTACAAAAGAAAGTGTTCAAGATTTAAGAAAAGAATACACTCAGATACCGAAAGAAAAAAAGAAAAAATATAAACTAACTGACGAAAACTTTCAGCAACTAATAAAACTTACTTTTAGTGCCGAAGTGGCTCAAGCCCACCAAGCCTGAGCCAAAGCCATAGCCGAAGCCTCAGCCGAAGCCTGAGCCAAAGCCTATCAAGCCTCAGCCAAAGCCTGAGCCAAAGCCATAGCCGAAGCCTCAGCCGAAGCCTGAGCCAAAGCCTATCAAGCCTCAGCCAAAGCCTATCAAGCCTCAGCCGAAGCCAAAGCCTATCAAGCCTCAGCCGAAGCCAAAGCCTATCAAGCCTCAGCCGAAGCCTGAGCCAAAGCCATAGCCGAAGCCTCAGCCGAAGCCTGAGCCAAAGCCTACCAAGCCTCAGCCAAAGCCAAAGCCTATCAAGCCTCAGCCGAAGCCAAAGCCTATCAAGCCTCAGCCGAAGCCTGAGCCAAAGCCATAGCCGAAGCCTCAGCCGAAGCCTGAGCCAAAGCCTACCAAGCCTCAGCCGAAGCCCACCAAGCCTCAGCCGAAGCCCACCAAGCCTGAGCCAAAGCCT